CGGCCAAAAACCGAACACGACCTCTAACTCGAAACATCCTAGTGGAATCCGCGAACAACCTATAGGGTTTCGTTCACCAACAACTCAAAACTCATATTCCGAATGATCCGACCCGGGCTAACCACCTCTGCGTTGGCTCAAGAAACCTAGTCGACTGCGAATCCTTTGAAAGGTTCCAGAATCAGACCGACTACACCATTCGGCAGATGAACTACATGTTCCATCAAGCCACGAGTTCAGCTCCCGACATCGATCTAGTAATTCGCGAGACCCAACGGACTCCGTTCACCTACTCGATCATGAACACATACCTCTGAGACACTACCAAAGTACGAGTCCCATAATACGATGGAAACAGTGACCCAAAATCTCACATCCGACTCTTCAACCTCGAAGCTATCTGAGCTAACTTCTCCCCAGAAGAAAAGGAAGCAGGATACTGCAGGCTCTTCGCGGAAAACTTAGTCAGACCAGCCCAGGGATGGTTCGCGACGCTGGAAGAAAATTCGATCTCAAAATTCAACGAGCTCGTAATAGCCTTCCTCAAGCAATACTCGATCTTCATTGAAAAACGCAAAACCGAAGCCGACCTCTCGAAGCTAGTACAAGCTCCTGACGAACCACTTCGATCATACATTGCTAAGTTCAAGGCGATTAAAGCAAAAATCGCTAACCCTAACGAAGCAACAGCCCTGCTCGCCCTCCGAACCAACCTTTGGTACCAGTCGAGGTTCAAGGCGGAGCTCACGTTTCGACCTACGGACTCACTCGGTGACGCGCTCCATCGCGCTTCCATATACGCTAACTTCAAGGATGAAGCGCCTGCCTGCGAAGCAAAAATACCATAACTCACATATCCACCTCGCACTCTCTGGGTCGAAGAAAGCTAACGTTCCACCTCCCAAAAGGGAGTCGCAGGGCAATGGTCAGCATTCGTATGCTATAGAGAGATCGTCCACCAAAAAGGAGTCGAGCTTCGACCAAAGCAAATATTGCGAACACCACAAGAAAAACGGACATTCCACTGAGGAATGGCGAACTCGAGCTAGAATCCTGGTGAAAAAGCTTGCCAAGGAAAAAGCCGAGAAGGCCGAGGGAAAAAGCAAAAAGCCCAAAAAGACCTCGACCCGAATCAGGGAAGTGGACCCCGACAAAGCACCTTAAAAACGAGATCGTGAAGTCGAAGTCGAAGTCCAAACCCCTGATTCTCCTCCATCAGCGAGAAAAAGGATCGACCTGATTTTCAGAGAGCTAACCTTTTGTGGTGGATCAATGAAATCAGTAAACACCCACCCCCCCCCCCCCCCCCCCGCACACCTAGGAAACCATCGAGCTCTTGCTCAAGCAGGCTCCATAAGGTCGCGGGGGGACACGTGTTAAAACTACTCAGAAGCTCGTCAAAACCAAGCATCACCCAACTCTCGACACCTCGAAGCTCCAGCTCACGTATCCCTCACTCGTTCGGGGGGGGGGGGGGGGGGGGGGGAGCTACCCACAATGAAGTGAATCGACTTCATACGCGGAGGCTCAAAGATGTGCCGAGATTCAATCAACTCGATCATGGCATATCAACGCAAGGTCGAGTCCGCCACCGTAAACCTACCTCTGGATTGACCCGACCACCAAATAAGCTTTCTAGAAAGCGAAACACTGTCTCTAGACAAACCACATGATGATGCACTCGTCATCCAGATCGCTGTAGGCGGTTTCGACCTTACAAGGGTCATGATTGATACCGGTAGCTCGGTAGACGTGCTGTTCTTTGATGCTTTTAGACGCATGGGATACCAAACATCCATGTTGTCGAATGATCGAACTCCACTTACCGGCTTCGCAGGAGAAACCACCTACTCGTTAGGAACCATCCAGCTTCCGGTTAAGGCCGGCGGGGTCATAAGAACAATTGACTTCGTGGTCGTAGATCGCCCAGCTCCGTTTAACGCCATACTTGGCAGACCATGGCTCTACGCGAAGAAGGCTGTAGCTTCCACATACCACCAATGTGTCAAATTCCCAACCCCTTGGGAAATTAAAGTGATACGCGGCTCCCAACGAGCCTCAAGAGATTGCTACATGGCCAGCTTCTTGCGAGCCGAGAAAGCTCTCGTATAGCAATTACAGAAAGAGGAGGAGCTCGCAGTCCGACAACTCAAACACAATAAAGACCCCACCATATGCGAACCTCAAACAGAACTGATCTAGCAAGTATGCATAGACGAGGCCTACCCCGAAAGGTGCGTTGAAATCGGGGTCGACCTTGCGAGAACAATTCGCGACGATCTAATAGATTTTCTATACAAATTTTGATTTTCAGAAAAATCGATGCTGCATCTCCAGGTCATAACCAAAATCCGGTCCACTCATTGGGCCCGTGCTTCTTCTTATTATTTCCCTTTCTCACCGGCTCTCTCTAGGGATTGTCGGGCTTCTTTACATCATGATATTCGGTGGACTTGCTCACCCTTGGTTATTGTGCCTCTATGGATGGTTAAAACCATTTAAAAAAAATAATCAAACTTTCGCTGCATATGCACAACGCGAAGGTTGTTTCGGCAGTTTAGGAGTCGGGATAACTCCCCTAGGGAATGCTATGCTTACCACAAGCTGGTATGCACATACTGTAACAAAATCAATGACTCCCCCTCGTGTTAACGACATGCGCACAAGGACACTCTTTTCTCCCTCTCAAGGTACCCCATGCGATACTTGGGCATGTGTCACCCAAGCGCTGATGCCTCGTCTTAATCCTCGCGATCATTTGAAACTCTAAATCCTTTATAAATCCAATACGAGAGGAAAGTGCTTTTATCGCCTAGCGCCAAAAGCGATGTGAATAAATCCCTCCAGGGAGAAGCCCCCTTGCGGGCAGTTATTTATTTCTCCGAAAACCTCATGTATTATACATCCGGTCCCGATTCGACTCATACTCTCTGTGGATGCGCATTTGGTTAGGGCAGATTTCATTTAATCTGGTGATAAGACAAACTCCTTAGGTTATGAACGAATCTACATATGTTTTGTAGGAACTAAGGCCAATAAGATTTGACTCCCTGCCTCCTCAAAGATGACACAAGAAATCTGGGGCAATTGTTAGGACCGGTTTTACTAAGGAAGAGATGCGTCAGTGGGGACCCGTTCAACAGTACGCCTACGTACATGCTCCATGGTAGTATGCATAAGAGGTGCGTCGAACACTCAAGCATATGATAGGAGTCCCCCGGAAGGTATTTCCACCAACTTCGTAGGTAACAGACCTAGTCGATGGAGTTCACAAAACCAATATAAGAAGAGTCCAAGACAGTATAAATAGAAAGGAAAGCACGACATAAAAGGTGGTCGAAGATTGTCCATTCAAAGGAGAAAGAGGGAAAAAGAGAGAGAGATATGGTATTAAAGGATCTTGCAAGCCAGACTCTCCTTCACATAGCTCGCGACGATACCAAACAAAACCCTTCACCAGCGAGATCATACATCATACCCTCGTGGAGCCGGTTCCCTGTCACTATGTTACTCTTTAGAGGGATTGCCTAATGACGTAAGAAACTCTTTTTTTATTTACCAGATAAGAGAGAGCTCCAACACCCTCTCCCCCTGTTCAACAATACGCCTACGTACATGATCCATGGTAGTATGCATAAAAAGTGTGTCGATCACTCAAGCATATGATAGGAATCCCGCAGATGGTATTTCCACCAACTTCGTAGGTAACAGGCCTAGTCGACGGAGTTCACAAAACCAATAGAAAAAGAGTCCAAGACAGTATAAATATAAGGGAAAGCACGACATAGAAGGTGGTTGAAGATTGTCCATTCAAAGGAGAAAAAGGGAAGAAGAGAGAGCAATATGGCATTAAAGGATCTTGCAAACCAGACTCCTTCACCTAGCTCGCGGCGATGCCAAACAAAACCCTTCACCAGCGAGATCATACAGCATACCCTCGTGGAGCTGCTTCCCTGTCACTTTGTTACTCCTTAGAGGGATTGCTTACTAAGGTAAGAAACCCTTTCTTTATTTCACCAGGTAAGAGAGAGCTCCAACACCCTCCCCCCTTCTCCCTCCTTCCTGCCCCCCTTTTTTAGTCCATGGCCTTTCGGAATATTACTCAGGGATCTAATGACTATCGTGATCCGTGGATATGGTGCTCAACTCCTTAATCTTACCCAAATGAATATATGTTTCCGATATGACATTTCTAAATTGAACGTCAGAAAATTTTCTGGGACGAAAAACTCTTTTCCGTATTCCAAATGCTGTCCTAAGTACCCAGACACTACTCATCTCTTGAGAGAACGTATTTATAAGATAGTGCACCTATTCCGAATAATATACACCTATTATTTGCATCACACAAAAAGCTCTCAAACAATTAAAATGTGTAATAATTAAAAAAAAATCAATTTAAACTTGCATCACATGATTTTTATAATCGATTATTTTATTAAAACCAAATTTCATGAAATTATTTTAAAACGTTATGAGCAGCGCGGGCTTAAATCATGTTAAAAAAACTAGGGCTTTAACTGGTGACCAATAAAAAAAAGAAATAGGAATGAAAAGGAAAAGAATAAAAGGAATAAAAGAAAAAGAATAAATAGGAATGAAAAATATATAAGGAAGTAAATAAATATATTTTGTTCCTCCCCAATTTTAATAAGAAATATATTTGTTCTATAATTCCTTATATGATAAGGAATAAGAAAGAATGATAGGGAAATATTATTACTAGCAAATGGTAAAAATTTTAAGGAATAAAGAGGAATTCATTATTCCTCCTCATTTCCTTGATCACCAGTTAAAGCCTAGATTTCATGTGTAAAACAATAAAACAAACTTAATACATAAAATATCTGTAAATCCGTACAAGCTATTTACATTAGAAGTCCATATTCTCTTACTTGCAAATTCACTTCAAGTTTTTTGGACTGATCAGAAAAGCTCCAGCAATTTAGTCAAAACCAAAAATTTGCTAAATACTCTGTCGTGAAACGAGTTCGGTACGATAAAGTTCATTTTGCATTTTTTTTATCTAAGAGCTCCGGTTTAAAATCCCGTTATAGAAAGGTTTGGTTCATTTTATATTGTTCCAAGAAGAAATAGTGACTTATTAATCTTTTTGAAAGAAGAGCTCAAGAATATGATACTTGTTTTCCTCATATTTTCAGGATTTCTTTTACCAATTTCCCGGAAAAAGGATATATATATCTTAAATCTCTAAATCACAGTAGTCTTGCACATGTTCGTCTTCAAATCTTGGTTTTTAAGTTCATGTGTGTTGGGGTTTGCCTTCTTCTATAAGAAGATGAACCATAGACTTGACGACTTCGTTGTGGACTATACCTGATTTCTGAAAAACACAAAACAAACGTGAAGAGATCAAAGAGATTAGTCCTGAGCTACTACTTACTTCACCGAGCAGATCGATCAAACAAAGAGATTGAACATGTTACCTCTGGTTTTCGGATAAGATCTTTGAGAATGGAATGGAGTGTTAACCGGAGCTCTTTGAACAAAACTGCGGTTTGAGCTGGTGCTGCTATCTTTAACCACCCATCAATTGTGACTGATCCATTCTGCAAATGAAATATAAAAGCCTTAAGTATCCAATAGGCATTGTTCAAATCCTTTTCGAAAGATATGCTAGTAACTCCTAAAAGAAGCCAAATAGTCTTAGGAACTACTGTAGGACATTAGCCTTAAGCCTCTGATTATCGTTTCACGAATTAAATCAGTATAAAATTCAAACGGTAAGACAACATAATATGGTTAACAGTACCTGATGATGAACATTGATTGATCCGCCAAAAAGTAGAATGGAGAAAGGAGAAACAATGGTTGTATCTCGTAGATACACTTTGTTCGTTTCAACCTACAACATATAATAATAACCCATTGATTATATGGTTACATTACACCAGAATCTGCCTAGTAACATCAAACTGAATAGTCACCAAATGATATAACACGAAGCCAAGTATGGAAATCACATAAATCAGAGAGATAAAAAGTAAAAGCAAATGCTTAACATATTAAAACTGAGATTACCTTCTCAAGAAATACAAGGAAAGGGTATTGAAATGCTTTGAAGTTGCTATTTATAGAAGACGGATGGATATGGACTTCTCTTCTGCCATCGTACCACGCTGAATAACTCTTTGTTTGGTTTCCTTGCTTTGTCAAACTGTTAATCGCTGCCTCTGTAATTCCATTGTTATTGGCTGCGATATTTGGATATAGCCCCGCGCATAGTATAGCCTGTACGTATTGACAGTTGAATTTACCTTAACAACTAAATAGATAATGACATGAGAACTCTATAACAATTAGCAAACGAAACTAATTTACCTTAACAACTTCACGTTGTTGTGAATACATGTTGAAAGGTTGAGTTTGGTCAGAAAACCAGACATCGAGATTCTCCCTTTTTCTTCCTGCAAACTATGATAAGAAACAAAGAGTCTCCTGATTAGATTCCATTAGATACATTCTTGGCCTTATTTTCTAATTCCCAAGATTACAAATATGATGAACCTTATAAAACAATCATATCAATATTTTAGTCCATGCTGGGAGTCTACTCTATGCATATGCAACAAATGTTTCAAATGAGATAGATAAGTTACCTCTCCTGTTTTGGGAAGATTGATGAGCCCGATGTCGGCAAGTAATGTGCCAAATTGTACTCTCATGTCTCTGATATTTGTGGGAAAGCGACAAATAAGATTTGACGGATGAAGACAGAAATGTTGCAAGGATTTTAAGAGACTCGTGCACATAATGAAAAGTCCCCACTAAAACATAGGTTCAAGTGGCTTTGACAAGAAACCAAAAAAAATGACAATTAATTTACGTCCTGAAGTTACTAACACAGTTTTCACAAACTTATTTATCCTTAGTCAAGCCTGCAAGGCAGCAAAAAGCGTCTTCTATCATATCTAGATTGTTTAACTTCCTTAGAGTGAGTCAGGTGACCTCAAAACTGAAAGTGATCCCTGGATACTAGGATACAAATGAGAATAAGCATAGTAAAGAAGAAACAATATATATATATTTAAATGTCTTTTTTTCTACAACTCTATGGGGATCTTTTCTATACAAGTTATAGCATCCAAGTACGACGTACCTTATCATCCGCATCACTGAGCTACTCAAGAACTTTGATTCACAGAACCTTTGTGCAGCTTTCATTCCTCGCTGAATGCATCACAGACACATAGAGCATGTAACTATTATGCAGATCACTATTAAATATATGGAATATCAGCCCAGTATACATCGATTCCAACCCATTCATGGCTTTAACACATACCTCCTGCAGTATCTTCACCCATTTGTCGTATGCAACCATCATAAGGAGATGATCAGATTGTCTGTCATTGTTGTTCACATCACTTGATTTCTTCTCCAGATTATCAGACAAAAGAGCAAGTTTCACCCGGTCGACATTTTGTTTCTAAGAAAAAACCACAGAACATAGAGTTAGCTGACAACTTCCTAGTGAAAATCATCCGAGTTATGAGAATCTAAAAATGTACCTCATCTTTGGGATATATAAACGGCGATTTGTAGCTCAAGAAAGCAGCAATCGAGAGAATAGGTGATAAGCAACCAAATATTCCACCATATAACAGCATCTGCAATTTTTCAAACATATAGTCATAATAGTGGAAAGAATTACATGACGCACTCTCTGGTTACCTACATTAACGATCATGACATTGAAACCTAGGCAGCATTTTTATTAAGAATGTGAAAAGGGACACAAAATGAGATGAGGCTAGATGTTGAGAGGAAATGAATGAATATTATATATATATGAGAAACCAGTGACCAAGGCCTCCAACTAAGAATTTTTAGTGTAACAATAGAGTTACTGAAGCAAACCTTTCCAATCAACACATCGACCGGAAGTTTTGCTAAATGATGCCCAAGTGGTGTCAACTCTTCATCTCCTTCAACAGCACCGACCTAAAGAAGACATGGTTCATAAATGAAGACTCAGACAGAAGACAGAATACAGAAATCTCTTACACTTCTCTTACACTGAGTTGACACCATCAGTCAGAAAAAAACAACAGTAGTCCAGAAAACAAAGAGTGTAGTGAGTTTAATTGCAACAGTATCTAAATGACTATAGCCTAAGGCTAGAAAACGTAGATTAGTCAGCCCCGCTGCACGACAACCTCAGACACATCAGCTAAATATCCAAATGACGGGTCTTGTAACTTTTGGATGCATTGAATGTGACTAATCACAGAAACGAAGAAAGATTTCTATAAATTACATAATACCTCGTGTAACAATGAAATTGCAGAGGTTATAGCACCTTCACTCGGGGGTTCCAAAGCCTAAAGACAGCAATTGTAAAGAAGAATCAGATGGCTAATAATTTTGGTTTATTTTGTCACTAAAATCAATCATATACTTGCCTTGGACAGAAAAGGCTTAATGTGACCCAAACCAAGCAATTTGATTTGCAAACATAATTCTACTAATGGCATCCGCAGCATCTCAGGAACCTTGTCATCAGGAGGGAATTGATGAGTTTAGGGGCAAAAACCAAGTGAAGAAGAGACCAAGAAAGGACCTAAAAGAAAAACACCTGATAGGGACGCATTAGCTTCTCGAACCTATGACGTGTGTACAATGAAAAGCAAATTCCAGGTTTGACGCGTCCAGCTCTTCCTGTTCTTTGTCTTGCATTTGCTTGAGATATCCAATCTTCCACCATGCTTGACAATTTCTAATATGATAAAATACAATGATCATGAGGCAATCACAAGGAGAGATTGATAAGCCTTGGAGAGGTACTTCCATACTTATCAAAGATATACAAAAATGTCATCAAACAACACTTAAATATCTAAAAAGCTTTTGGTTTTTATATGTAGATTAATAGATATCCAAAACAACGGATATCAATCTTAAAAAACGGCTTCACAAGGAAGGGGTTATATGCGAATATCACTATTAAATGTGCATAAAGTTATAGTTCATTTTCAGAAAAAGATTGAGTTTGTAGGGGAAATGGAAACAAGCATTAGAAAAATAAGATGCTGGTCTGCAACCATCTTCGTAAAAGGAAAATGCAACTGATTCACTAGTATTGGAAATACCTTCTGTGGATTATAGCGATTTTCCTTGTGTTTGCCACTGTCAATCACATACACCACATCATCAATTGTAATACTGGTCTCTGCAATATTTGTAGCTACGATAACCTGAACATAAGAGATGATGCAAACTCTTATAGTAGTAGTTACAAGAGATGCATAATAATACTGGTCTCTACAATATTTGTAGCTACGATAACCTGAACATAAGAGATGATACAAACTCTTATAAGTAGTAGTTGCAAGAGATGCATAACACTCAGCTTAGAGCCCTTAGCAACTTTAGATTGTTTTCCAACAGAAAAAATGCAAAAGCAACTTAATGATAAAGCCATTAAATTTGCTCATCTAAAAAAAAAATGAATCAAAAGTGACATATCTATAGGAAACTAGGCATCTAAACCATGCATAGCAATAGTGTAACAGATATATAGATGTCACAGGAAATCACCTTTCGTATATCTTCAGGGGGGCGCAGAAACACGCTTTTCTGTTCTGTAGATGCAATAGAAGAATGTAGAGGAAGAAGCCAATCTCCAGAAGGTCCACGAAAACGATACGAAGCAGCTAACCTATCGAGTAACATGTGGATTTCTAACACTCCCTGTTATTAACCAAACAAATGTCAAGCTGAAACGATAGACAAGATGATTAATTCTCAATTAACACGAACGCCCTCAGTATCAACTTACAGGCAAAAATACAAGAATTGCTCCTTCCTCACAAGTGTCATCAATGTGGCATATCAACTCTTCAAGAAGCTCGTAGTCAATAGCGTCCTCATTTAACCTTTTCTGCAGACACTCAGCCCATTCTGAGACTCAGGACAACTAGAAGATTAAGAGGAACCTGATCTCAAAAAGGAAATGTAGCATACCAGATTTTGTTGTGTTTGATCACTGTATGAGTTGTAATTACTGGAAATATAAAACGGATTAAGACAGCCCTCTGAAAGCAAATAATCGTCACCCCAGCCAGCCAATACAAGATTCTTCTGTCCCCTACGGTCGTTTACTGAACCAAGCTGCAGACGACAAATCCATGTATCAACTACACAATATCCAAAATTTCACTACTACAAGCTAAATGGGAGCACCAGTATATAAGCACTAGAATCCAAATTTTAGAATCATACAACACATATCTAATCAAAAGGCATTCACATATTAAGCCCTACAATAAGGAAAAGGCAATTCCATACACAACCTTTGTTCTGAACGTATAATTAGTTAAAGATTATTCATATGAATGAAACATTCCTCAGAGTAGAAAACTACTGAAATACAAAATCACAATAAAACTTATAAATCAAGAGTCCAAGTGTCTAGCATCTTCAACGATTTATTTATAGCTCTATGAAGGAAGAGCTCAAGCTCTATAAAATAAGTGAATGGAAGAGATGCCGGGGAAACATGGGAGTTGCTGGCCAAAATGAAAAGGAGAATCACAGAAATATAATAGATGATATGTTCTTTATGAATAATTTAGATACCTTGTCTCTAATGGATGAATCAGATCTTAGCGCAGCAGGAGAATCTGGAGCCAGAAGGTATCTTGTTCTCTCATAAATCTCCTCCAGATAGTGAGTAGTAACCGGGTGTGTTCGTCCTTGAGCAGTAATCACCGGACAATGAGCAAAATATCTTGAGAATAGACCTGCGTCAACAGTAGCGGACCTGAACTACATCAGAAGCATAGATTAATATGATGTTCACTACTAGTTACAATATACCATGAAAAATATAAGCCACAACACGTACATAAGGATAATTTTCAATTTACGTGATGTATTGTCGCATGATTGCTTCTCTATCAAGCTCTTTAAAATAATGAGAAGAAAGTCACCCTGAATAGAAGAAAAAAAAGTGTTACCCACAAGTTGACAGAAGAATGAAAGGCAAATTTCTGTTATCAAAATTTGACATACAGATCTAGCATTCTTTATGGAAAGAGGATGTTGGGATACTATGTGGACGCACGATAAATAAGTCCTTTATTATAAAGCAGTGTCAAAAGAAGCCAGAAGAGAGAAAAATGTGGTGAAAAAAGTATAGACCAGCAAGGAAGCAAGCTTTTGGATTTCGCAATTGTAAATGGTCAAATTTGTCGCTGAGTTAATCAATACTCACCAAAAGTGACCGCTCATGCACTTCATCGACTATAATATGTGTAACATCATTCAAGGTTTTATCCCCCTGCAAGGTTTGCACAAATAAGCAAACAGAAAACACAGACTCTGTGTAAGTAAAATAGGGTACATACAGCGAGTTTCCTCAGTAGAATGCCAGTAGTACAAAACAGCAGCCTTGTCTTGTCACTCCTGCACAAATATACATATATGTCAAAGGAAGATTAAAGTTAAATAGCGGAAAATTAGTAGGCCATCATCATCTAGTAGTGTCAGAAATTAATATATCTTACAAACAGCAAATGATGGTAACTAATGCAACTATACACTACTGAAGCCAAAAAAATAGCAAAGTAATCAGGCGAGATTATGTGTGGAAGCTACATAACGAAGTAGCATACATATATAAACTTTACAACTCCGTTCCGAAACGTAGCAGAAAAAGTATGTCCATCTAAGACGATTTTAACATGGCAGTATTGCTACACCAAAATCAGCCTCAGAAGTACAGAGAGAATGTGAAATCCCAGAAGTAATAACATTGCAGAAGACCAACTCTAACGTAACAGTAAGTAGAATCGGTTTATCACGAACAGTGAGCCGCGAAAACGAACAAATGAGTAGAATTTACATCGAAACGTATTTTAGAGAAAAAAGAAAAGTTCGACTCTTTGACAAGTGTAGCCCAGTGTCCTAATACTTCAGCTTTTGGAACTAAATTCCTCTTTTTTCAGTCTATATGTTTTATTGCTGCTCTACTTTGAGAAACAAGCCAATATTTTAACACAGCATACAATTATAACTACTTAAATTCCATGCCATAGATTGAATGCCACGATCGATTATAATGATTTTAACTTGGGTTCTTGAGGACAGTGAATGAAGCGATGGAGAGGAGTGAACACAATAAAATATAGCGGCAGACCTTGCACTTTCAAGACGAACTTGATAACCAACCAAGGAGTCATCTATGCCTGGAGAGGATTCACAACGCTCATCAGCAACTCTTTGAGCAACAGAGATAGCCTAGACATATTACCCAGTTACTAACAATAATAAGGTAGAAAGAAATCTTGCTAATTGACATCATTAAATCTTTGCAAAAATAAAAGGATCAATGCGAATAAGAGGGTCGTTGTTCATGCCAGTACGAATAAAACCAGGAATCCCTGAAAGCATGACATTTTAACACAGAAATACTCACTGCTATCCGCCGAGGTTGTGTGCATATGATATTACAGTATCCACCACGCCCCGAGTCGATCATATCATCCAATATATATTGAGGAACCTGGAACAATGTTGCAGTAAGAAATCAATCAATTTTGAGCTGGAAAATAAATTCAGTAAAACGATCAAAGAGTGAATTTACACCAAGTAACATGAAGCAACTGGCAAGACCAAACCTGTGTAGTCTTTCCAGAGCCTGTTTCTCCGCATACTACTAACACATCTTTTTCTTTCAGATGCTGCAGTATGCCATTCTTCACTTCAGATATAGGAAGAGCAGTTCGAGCTTTCAACATGTCCTGCAAAAGTATAGTAGGATTATTGTGAGAGTAACAACAATTTAATCATGCTGAAAACAAAATTCTATGTTTCTTAATGGAATGAGCTAACCAGTTTTGGGAAGCTTATACATATATGGCATAATTTTAGTAACATGAACTAAAATCCTTACCATCTCTAGAGACAAAATTTCTGTCCAAACAAAATGAAGAATATCCTACCTTGTACTTCGGCGTTTTCTTTTTGTTTTCTTGTCTTTGTTGGAGAGATAAACAGATAGCTTCTATGGAAGAGTCTCCTGTAACACAAAATATAGATAATACTATTTCCTGCTGCTGATTTAGGCACTAAAATCCAGAGTTATACTAATTAAGCAACTAAGTGACCACAGATAAAATCCATGACAAACATACGCTTAGCTCTGTTGTTAGATTTGACAACACCCATGTCATCTTTCATTTCGACATAGGTCACTGGAAGTGCATCGCCGATTCCACTTGACGACGCGGTCGAATTGAAATTGTCTTCGTCAAGCAATCTATCAACAAAATTAGCTCTTCGATCTTCTTCTGTGCTTTGCACGGTACACAACAATGCCTCTGTGAAAGCTCAAATCAACTGTATTAGAGCGATTAAAATAATGCAAACCAGAGTAATGTGATATATGTCGTATTCCCTCCAGTTTATCAGATGCGGTAGTAATTTCACTCAGTACTGATGCGCTTGTTAACAGCCAAAATGTTTTGAACAAATAAGCACCAAAACTCCCATGCAACATAGAGCTGTTGTAGAGTTACAATAGTTGATTCATACGCCCACAATTCCTGGACTAGTGATTAAACTTTGATTCAAATAGAAAATGCCAATGTAAACTGACAGAAAGGTGATAATAAACTAGGCTACTCAATCTAAACTAATTTGGCATAGCTGAACATGTTACTGCAAACTTTACTCAAAACACAAAGACTGAGACAAAATTCATAAAATCACCTTGTTTCCAGGTTAAAACTAGAGAGGCATAAGGCTCAGTGATTGCAAAGTGAACAGGCAAATCCGAAAAGAGCTTATGGAGAGCAAATGCCGCAATTCTGTTTTGTGCATCCTGTCACACACAAGTGCACGATATATTAGCATACTGATTACGTGGTCAGCGACTCAGCATACTATTTAGGCACTGATGATTATGTTCCAATCAACAGTTTACAATTACAGTTTCATAATTAAAGATTCCAAAACTTCGAGCAACATTGTTAGAAAAATAATAGTACACTATAGACCTTTCTTTCTAGCCGTCCTACTTTATTTTCCTCAGAACCTGAAACTCAAGGAATGAAACTGGAACTTTCTAGTGAGAAGTTATATCCCTAACTACATTTTGTCAGAACGCCCTATCCAGATACTTGTTAGCATGTTATAAAGAAAATATCTAATGTCAAAATATAGCATAGATCAAACGAGTACCTCGATAGATTCAAAGCCCACATCTTGATCTGGAAGTTGAAGCGTTACCAGACCCCCGGCTTGTCTGCTTTTACCCCGCCCACTGGCTTTACGCAGAATGCTTACAGTATATGAAAAATTCCTTCCTTCAGTGGCTACCTTATTGAACTTTGGTGCCTCCCACCCTGACCGTTGACACAATTGATGAAGAAATGCTTTTGGGGTCTTCTGCGCCTCACCCTATAAACGTGTTTACAGGTTAAAGAGAGAGTTGAGCAAAAGAAGCTGCCAAGTAATAAAGCTGACACTAGACCAAACCAAATGAAAATGGGAACAGCGCAGGATTTAGTTGGATAAAGGAATTCCATATCTATTAAGCATAGTTAGAACCTCACTTAATTGGATCATAATGTCAGCATATGTGATAAAATAAAAAAAATTATGAAGCAGGCATAAGGGCAATAAAAGCATTAAACACCTTTTAATTGTAATAGTATTTTAAAGCTAAAATTTCTATTTCTTAGAATGTTGTTTGATGAAGATTTACCTTCTTCCAGATGCCCTCTAGTTTCTTAAGATTTTTCTCACTGCGTAGTTCTCTCATCATTTCATTCTTCTGCAATTCCAGGAGTTCATATGGCGAAGCTTCAGAAGGTGGGACATCTTCTAAAAACATATCATCAAGCTCCATGACCTCTGAGTTATCATCCGAATCCGATGCAACTAATTCTTTTCCCTGGGAACATGAGGGAAGATCTTTTGGTTGATTTTCCTCAGATCCACCGCTCTTACCAAGATTTGCACCCAAGTCCGGGTCATCTAACGACTGAATACAGACAGCATCAGAATTTACGGCCTCGTGAACATTAACAGGCATGGGAGAGATTAATTCTTTTTCTGTAGCATCTTCAAAAGCATATTCACGCTGAAATTCAGATTCCAACGTCGCTTCAGATATTCCTGCAAAACAAACACATATAACTCATGACATGCTGCACCAATTTATATGACTGGCAGATTGATCACTAAAAGATTAAACTTAACCAAGAGCAGATATCTCTTGCTTGATCTTGCGAATGGCTAAGCCTGCTTGCTCCTGTCCTTTTTTATCACGCTTCTCCTTTGCTTTTATAGCATCTGATCTTGCCGAATAATATTCTTTGGCAATCACATCGAAAGGCCTCGGACCGGATACCTAGTATGATTTGTGAAAACAAGATATCACCACATAGAACAACATAAAAACCCACGAAGATGAGACCAATATGGTGTTGCACAACTAATTGACTGAAGTCTGTAGTTTAAAACAATCATCATAAACAAATGAAGTAATATTCCACTTCTAGTACATAGGATAGAAACTGAATAAAATAGCTCCACAATCTTCTGCCATGACAGATTATTACAGTAAGGTAAAACCATATAATACCTTTTTCAGCAAAACAACAATTCATGATCCAAATTCAAGCGCTTTCAGGTATTCATAGTTTATGTAAGGTGAATGTTTTCTATCACACCAAAATCATGAGGGGATATTTATCCTCGAGTAAGATGCAAGAAATGTAACATGCAAGAAAACAGTGAAAATATTCCACATCAATGACGGGACTTGTCTCACTATTATTCCATTTCGTTGCCATAATGTAAAGAAGCCTCGAAAAGAGTTGAATTACCTCCTTGCTGGAGCCAACACCATCCGCCTCATCTTCCCAAGATTCTAATTCCTCCTGAAAATTTAAGCCAATGACCAAATTCATCTGTGAATTAAATATCGTTCTGTTTTGGCGCCTTCTCTGTAGCTACAACCATCATGTACTAAGCTAATGGAAAATGGTTGAAGCATTCTACATGAGTACCTCTTCCTGTCTTCTCATATACTCACGGATCCAATCAGCTTGAGATGATTGGCCAGAACTAAGATTATCTTCATCTTGCTTCCCCTTCACTTTAACTAAAACTTCAGGCTCCTCCTGATTGTGCTGGACTGAAGAGTCAGAAGACTCATTCCAATCTTCCCGTGAGGTCAATAACACACCTACAGAACCACCTGCAACACCAATGGGTACAAGCATCAATGCACATTGCACAACAAGCACCTCAAATTCCCCGAGAATATTACAACCTTAGCAAGTGTTTATGGGGGTGAGTTTATTAGATACCTCCTGTAGGAAAGCGAGAAGCTCCAGTAGAAAACTTCACTGGCAACTCATGACTCGGCAAGTTCAAGCAGAGCCAATCAAGAGCAGCCTCAAACGTAGCTCCGTCCTTAAACGAAACATACACATTGTATCAAGCATCGAATTAGGGAATTCAAACTGAAAACTAAACCGAAATTTCAGCAAATGCGAGATGGTGAGAGCGTTACTCTAAGAGAGGAGAGAGCGAGCTCAATCTGATCATCTACGAATCCTTCGCAAGAGAGCTTCTCGTAGACGTTATTGAGTTTCTTCGCCTTCTGATTTTTGGAAAGCGCACAGTGGATAGGTGCCGGAGCCAGAGGAGCGGTGCGGCCAGAGTTGAGCAAGAGCCGTCGCAAACGGTCCTCGTTCTCCGCCGAAATCTGAAGTTTAGGACCTGAAGAAGATTTCTGATGGTTCGATTTCGACGATGAAGAAGCAGCAGCTTTGTTGCTTTGCTTCTGAGGTTTCTTCTTCGGAGCCATTATCTTCTTCTCAGATGAAACAATGGCTGGCTTACCCTTCTCGTTCAAAATAAGATCCCGATTGCCTTCATTATAAAATTCATATATTTATCTAATTATTTTTATACCAAATTTTATTGATTTACTTAATTCTCCTTTTCAATTTCAATTAATTACAGATCTAACCATTGTTCAATTGGATCTAGTCCATCCATAAGAAATCTAAACCCGAAATCAATCCAACTCCGACAACTTGGATTGATTAAAACCTTTAAAATCTTACACTCTTTTCAGTTTCCAGTTTAAACCATCGGGTGCGAAACTGAACAGACACGATCCTCGCTAAATTCAAGTTAGTTGACGGACCATTCGTCTTAATATTCACCAATTTCGTATCATCTTCCTCCTCTTTCTCCTCCGAATTCCTTCTCCTCCTCTTCTCTTCCCCCCTTAATCACTTTACTCTCTGAATTCTTCAACTCTCACTCTCCTCTTTCGCTGAATTCCAAGCGAGATAACAATAGCGTCTAAAGGTATGTTAAATTCTGGAATTTCCCTATTGTTTCCCCTCTAATAGATTGATCGAGAAAAGACATGAATTAAGGAAATATATAAACTGGATTTTCTTTTGCAATTCAATAATTTTCATTATCATGGACTCTGATTTTATTTACCTATCAGCTTATGTCTATTGATGCCTTAATAGTTACCAACTTCTTGTGCGATTGTAGGAGTAAGTGTGGATCCGTCAAGAACAAGAAGCAAGCAGCATCAGAATCTTGGCGAAGAAAGCAGCCTCAGAATCGGATTGGTCAGAACCATGACGAACTCTGATGATGAGGAGAACCCTACGGTATGTAGTTAGATGAAATATTGTTTAAACAAGTATGTAGTACGTTGTAAAACTTTTTGAAAGTCATAGAATTTCTAAAAACAAAACTTGGTAAAACTTGAATCAGTTGCTCATAGTATTTCTAAAAATTAAAGTAACACTTGGTAAAACTTGAATCAGTTGCAGGATTCGATTGAAACAGAACCAATGCAACCTATGCGGATGTACTTTAATCCGACTGAGTACAAGAAACAGGTGAAGATATCGACCAGGTGTTACATTCACAAGGCGGTTAATACGATAAATTCTTTGAATCTTACCATTGAAGAGAGGAATTGGTTTCACAACCACCCACAATTCAAGCATTTCTTCCATATGTATGACGACTCAAACCACAAGGTTATAGGCATGTGGATGCTCCTTCTTCGAACGTCTGAAGTTGAGAAGAGAAGGGAGGCTTGGTTCATTGTGAATGACGTCCCAATTAGGTATTCTCTCAAAGAACACGCTCTGATTTCTGGATTAGATTGTCATCTCTATCCAGAAAACTATAGCCAACTGGGGGGTATGAAATTCGCTGAAAGACAGTTTGGCAGAGGAACAACAATCACTTATGCAAAAGTGCATGAAAAGCTGTTGAAGATGAAGAAACCACATCCAGATAGGTTGAAGATGTGTGTGTTGTACTTCCTATGTAGTGTCATAGTAGGGAAGGAAAAAACTGGAGCGGGAGCACCCTCGGTTGAGAAGTTCTTCATAAGAGTTGTGGATGATCTTGAGCTCTGTAAGACTTTTCCTTAGGGGAGATTCTCTTTTGATGAGAATTTGAAAGATATCTAGAAAGCAATGGTTGATTATAAAAGGGTCGTCGATAGAACATGCAAGTTTCCAAGTTTTTGTACTTCTTTGGAGGTAAAGATTATTCATTGCACTTTTATTCGCTTATTCCTAATTATTAATTGAGAGATATTGTCTAAGTATCGAATTATATGTATTATGTGCAGATGCTAGCCTTTGAGGCAATTCCAGTGTTGAAGAAGACTTTTCGAGAAGACCATAGAGGCGCAGAGAAGAGCTGCCCTCGCATGTGTAAGAGCAAGTTCAAGTCATTTGCTATGAAAGGATTTCCTTTTTCGGAAATATATGAAGCACTTGGTAAAACTAAGGTTAGAAATTTAAACTTAGTTATCATTTGCAAATTGATGATTTATGTTTAATCTACACTAGAAATCTAAACTTTATTGTACTTACAGGATATTCATAGTGTGTTAGTCCCATCTGCTGAAGAGCAATCTCTTGTAGATGGAATATTGGAAGATGGAGATGAGGAGGATGTATATGATGTCGTCGTTGATGGTTGGATGAAGCTTATCTCTAAAGACAAAGCGATTTGTTTTCAGAAAATGTACAATGATGACATGGCTTTCCGAGAAGAAGAGGAAGGTGAGGAGCATGTGGAACCGCTAGAGGTAGAGAACGAGGAAAATGCAACCAAGGAAAAGTGCAAGAAGAAGAAAGCTGTATTCGAGTATGAGGAGAATCCGGCCAAGTTCATCCATGGGGAGAATGCAGCCACTATTAGTATGGTAGTTAGGCTGGAGCTTGCGATGGACAAGGGGTTCAAAGAGATCAAGGAGAAGATTGGAGAATTTAGCACAAGACTTGTAGCAGTGGAAGAATATGTGAAGGAACAATTAGAGGGGAGGAGGTCATTTGAAGACATGGATAACCAGTATAATGAACCTGAAAAAGTTGTGGAGAAATCTCAAGTTGGAGAAGCCTTAGGCAAGGAGAAGGTAACATTTTGATTTGAGATTAGAAAACAAAAAGTAGTATTTGGTAACACTAGTATAACTAAGTGTTTTTGCTTTGCAGGCAAAATCTGCTGAAGAGAAAACACAGGAGACGTCGATAACTACTCCGTCTGCAGATCCAGCAGCAACTCTGGAAACAGGTGTTGTGGTTACGGATGAAGAGGAGAAGGTAACACTTTGATTTGAGTTTGAAAACAAAAAGTAGTATTTGGTAACACTAGTATAAATATGTGTTTTTGCTTTGCAGGCTAAATCTGCTGAAGAGACACCACAGGAGACTTGTCAAATAGCAGAGGAAGAGACGACGATGCTTACTCCGTCTGAAGATCCAGCAGCAACTCTGGAAACAGGTGTTGTGGTTACGGATGAAGAGGAGAAGGTAACACTTTGATTTGAGTTTGAAAACAAAAAGTAGTATTTGGTAACACTAGTATAACTATGTGTTTTTGCTTTGGAGTCAAAATCTGCTGAAGAGACACCGAAGGAGACTTCTCAAATAGCAGATAAGAAGACGTTGTTGGCTACTCCGTCTGCAGAACCAGCAGCTAATGTGCCTGTTGCAGTAGAAAAGTCAAAAAAAATATGCGATTTCATTAGAGAGATGTAGCTCAGTGAGGAAGGTAGGAGATCAGAAGGTGAAGTTCATTACGAGGACTAGAACATTGTGTGTGAGCTATCTTTCCGTTCTGATAAGAATTGGAAGCTATGTTAGCAATGATAATAATTTAATCTTTATTGTCATTGCAGGAACAAGAAAAGGTGCCGAAGACTTACAAAAGAAAAAAACTAGCAAGGCCTGATGGTGAGAAGGAAGGAGGGGAGGAAGGAGAGAAGGAACCAGAGGGAAAGGGTGAACCTAATAAGCGGGGAAAGAAACGTCCCCAGGTTTCCATCAAGCTTGAAAAGAGACTAACGAAGCAGAGTAAGAAGCAATCGGAAGAGGACTGAAACATGTTATCATGATATTTTTTTGTAATACTAGTAAGATTGGGTAAAACTACGTTTATGTTTATGATGATTTGGCTTTGTGAAACATGATCAGAAGTTTGCTTTTGCTTCCTTTTGTGTACTACGTTTATATGATGGCTTTTGTGTTATTATTAACCTAAAACTAGCATTTATATCGAAATTGAACTCAGAATCCCATATTGGCCGTCGGCGACGAATCCAACCATGTCCCAATGCTGCTTCATCTTCTCCATTTCCTTGCGGCGCCTCTTCTCTTCCTTCAACTCCTCCTCATATGGGTCGATGAGGAAATTGTCCGTGTAGTGATAGCTATAATCTGAATCCATTTGGATCGTGTGAGAGAGAGAGGAGAGATCGATTTTAAGAGAGAGAGGGAGAGGAGAGGATGAGAGAGTTCTTTTAGAGAGATGAGAGAGGAGAGAGAGAGAGAGTTTGTAAGTGAAAGTGAAAGTTTTTTTTGACAAAATTTTGTATTCTCCTGCAAAAATTTTCAATTTTCCCCCGAAAAATTACACTCTCCTGCGAAAGAATTTAATTTCCCACTAAAAAACCACACGTGCGCCGTCATTTTCTCATGTGTGTGCCACCAAATCGTGGCAATGTTTCACTTAGTTATTCCAAGTTATCCAGTATTACTTACTTTCAAACAGTGTTATTGTTGAGGTTTTAAGAGTTTTAATTAGTGTTTCCTTGTCAAAAACTAATATTTTGTAGTTGTACCGATCATTGTAGTCTAGTTATGTATATCCTAACACTTTTAAGTAGATAAATATATAAAATCACATTATTATGTGATTTTTGATTTTAATTGTGTTCATATTACCAAAGTGATGATGAAAGTATAAGGAGTTTGTTGAGGACATTATTTAATTTCATAGTAATGCTAATATTTTTGCTTTATAATTAAAATATGTGTGTTATATGTAATAAGTACTTATACAACATATAATTGTGCAGTTTCTTCACACTTTGTTTTAACAATATATTTCCAAAGTTCTACAAAAATATAATTTCAAATAAATACAAATCTGAGCATCAGTTTTACCAAGTTCTACAAAAATATATTTCAAAGAAAAACAAATTTGAGCATCAGTTTTACCATGTTCTACAAAAATATAATTTCAAAGAAATACAATTTCCATCAGATATCATTGCTCATATACTATGAACCGGCTCAAACCAACTCCCCAAGTTCCTTCGTGCCACCCTTTTATTGCTGGGTTTTGGGCGCCTTTCTCCAACTGATGGATACTTCTTCTCTTTATTTCTTTCCTTCTTTTTGACGTAGTCAGGAGGGAAGATCTGCAGTTCTTTTATTTCATCCGAAATAGTCCACTCACACCTAGCCGGCACTAGATAAATGGTCCTGTAGTATGTCAATGCCCACTGCTCCGCCAAATAATAAGGCGAACACAAATCATGAAATTGGATATCTCTCATTCTGTTTGGGCGCTTCCAATATTCTGTGACCCCAGCTATTGCGTGCTCACAAAGATACTTGTCAATATCGAAACACCTGCAAGTGCAACTTTTCCTTATCAAGTTCACCACATATGACTTACCGTCGCTTCCATTGACACGGTATTCAAGCTCAAATGTGTTTAACTCAATCACAGTTAAGAGCGATGCAGTCTTGCATCTTTCATGCACTATGTTCTCCACAATAGGCACTAGCTTTTGTGCATTCGATCCAGCAACAGATTACTTCCTATGCTTGTTAAACCATTCACCAATTTTCTCCAGTATCGTATCTATCAAGGGTAATAAGGGATACTTCCTTTCTGTCATAAACACGTTATTCATCGATTCTCCTATATTGGTGGTGTCTACGTTGTACCTCTGTCCTGGAAAATAACACCTCGCCCATTTTTCAACCTCACAACTCTCTTTCAGATACGCAGCCACAGAAGGATATCTGGTACAAAATTCATCAAAAACACGATGGAACTCAACCACCGTATAGATCTTACCAACCTCTTTGAATCTACTTGACACTAAGTCTTTGTTAACATTGTTAACTTTATTTCTCACATTCTGGGACAAATGCCATAGACAATACCCATGTTGAGCGATCGGATACACCTCTCGTACTGCCTTGATGAGGCTTGGATTTCTGTCAGTAGTAAATACTAATTCAGGCGAGTCTGATATAACAGTTTTCAACATACTGAAAAACCACTTCCAACTTGCATCTTTCTCACCATCAAGGACACCAAAGGCTATGGGATAATGGTGGTGGTTAGGATCCTGAGCTGTGGCAAAAATTATGACACCCTTATATACTGTCTTCAGAAAAGTTGCATCCACAACTATCACTTTTCTCATGGCTTGAAACCTTTCAATGCTAGCTCCCAAAGCAATAAAGAGATATTTGAACTTTTTCGCTTCATCCACCTCCACTCTTGTTTTTGTACCAGGATTCACCTTCTCTAAAATATGCATATAACTGTACAACAGCTCATAACTTTCTTCTGCATTACCACACACATCTCTTACAGCTTGATATTTTCCTCTCAATGCGGTTGAGTATGATACTTTTACACCAAGTCTTCCCTGAACTAGACTGATGAGACTTTTAGGAGTTGGGGTGTTAAATTGTCCAGGATAATCATCATGCAATACAGAAGCAACTAGTCCTGGTGTGCCTTTCCTTCTATAGCTGCTTGTACTCGCAGTAGCCCGAGAGCATGTGTGCATATTGGTGTACACTCTAACAAAGAAATAACTTGAATTGCTAACCTTCGCAACTCTTAGATGCCATTTACAACCTTCTTGACGACATTTGAGCACTAATCGCGTCCTATCAGACTTGACAATGCCAAACACAAAACAATTCTGAAATGCACCTTTCTCAACTAACTCTTGCACTGCATTCTTATTTGCAAATTCTTGTCCTACTTGCAGACCCAAACCGTCCTCCCATTCCTCTCTAAGCTGACTATCCCGACTAATACTTGTAGGATCAACATATTCTTCATTTCCAAAATCGTTTCCAACAGATTCATTCACATCGTCATCTAATCCATTCTCACTCACTCCCATAACATTATCCTCCAACGGCTCTTGCTGTTCTACTGGTTGTACATTACTTACATAGAGAGTAATGGCACCAGCATTTACTACATCATCAGTTGAATGTAAAGCACCATAATTCACACCAACAGAACTTCCTACACCCACTTTAGAAATTTGCTCGCCCCCCTGATCTATTCCTAAATCTGTAATGACCTCTACATGCAAAACACTTCTACATTTCTCTTCGTCCATTGATGTCAGATAAGAATACACATCCTCATCATCGATAATCAGTGATGCTCTCTTTGGTTTACATACCAAAGGAATGAAGCTCAATTGCAGTTTCACCGTACTTTCCTCTAACCCAATCTTCCTGCATATTCTACCCTTTAACACTGAATAACTTATATTTTCCATACATGTCTTAAACGTTAAACCATAGACATGGCCTATAGAATTCCATATTTCATCTGCTCCGGTCTTTGAATAACTTCCTCCGTAATCAAAATATAAGTTTACGGTCGTGCCCATTGTCGCCTGAGAACAAAATATAAAAAATAAATCATCAACATCATTCAGTAATACCAAGTAATACCCAGTTGTGCTTTTTGAGTGGGTTCTAGTTTTACTTTCTTACTTAGTAATACCAGTTCAACCCAGTTATACTTATGTACTCAGTAATACAAGTTCTACCCAGTTTTACTTTCGAACTCAGTAATACCAGTTATATCCAGTTTTACTTTCGTACTTAGTAATACCAGTTACACCCAGTTGTACTATCGTTCTTGCAACTCCTTTCTTTCTTTCTGGCTGATATGAAGATGATTCTAGTCTAATCATGGTTTCCTACGATTATGGAAATAAAATGCATTCATTACCAATGCATCGTCCTTAACGACGCATATAACATTGTTAATTACACAAATATGGCGTACAAATGGATTACAAAGGATATGGATTCCAATTCAAATTTTTTCAATTCACAATTTTAAAAAAACCAAATTGATTTTCAATTATACAACTCGAATGGAGATGACGAGATATGCTTGAAACACACATGTATCCACCGGACTTTGTAAGAATTGAAGACAGTGTGCGATATCCTGGACTGAGAGCTCGAGCTATGCATCAATGGCGGATCCGATTACGAATCTCGGGGATGTTGTGAGGAGAAGGAGGAGAGAGAAGAAAGATCTGTGTTCTGATTGGATAAAAATAATGTATTCTCATTGGTCTAATTTTTATTATCTTTAATTTTTAGTTAGTTGAGAATAAGGTTAAAATAGGGATATCACATTTCATTAAAAAGGTAAGGGGTACATAGATTATGGGGAGGGTATTTTGTTTAGTTTCTCCTCAATAAGGGCAGTTCAGATCATCATCCTTCTCCGATCAAGGACGGAACCTGCGAGAGACGGAGGAATATTGAAATTTGGGTCTGGTTAAAAAACACAGCAGCGGAATGAAAAATAATTATTGGGCTTCATGGCTTTTTCTAGAAGCCCAACTAGTTTTTTGGGCCCAGCTAGTGTTTAACAAGTTTGCCAAGATATCTTCAAGTTATTGGAAAACAAATGGCTCTCAGAGAACACCATGGAACAGTTAATTATGATACTTGTGAGAAGTTCTTAGCTGACTGGCTCGTTAAAAGCTTTTGTTCGATTAAAGAATGTAATTAATCTTCTGCTCGTGGAGATCAGTGTGAAAAATGTGGAAAGATCTTGGATCCTATCGAAATCAAAGCTCCTAGGTGTAAGGTTTGTCGAACAACACCAAGAATTCATGAAACGGTCCATCTGTTTATTGAGCTTCTGTTGATGAAAAATAAGCTGAAAGAATATGTTAAAAAAAATGGATCTTGGAGCAAGAACGCTGTTTAAAATGACATAAGCATGGCTTGAGAACCCGGAAGGGATTAAGATGAGATGTATTACAAGGGATTTAAAGTGAGGAGTTTGGTTTGATGCTCCTGTTGGATATGTTTCAATAACATCTTGCTACACTTCTAAATGGGAGAAGTAGTGGAAGAACCCTAAGGATGTGAAGTTTTGTTAGTTTATGGGGAAAGGTAATGTGATCTTTCATAATATGTTTTTTTCCTTTTATACACAGCTTGGAACTGGGGAGGATGGGAAGTTCTGCCTCCTAGCCACGGGATAGGCACACCTCAACCATTATTCACGAAACTGAAAGATGAAACAATACAGAGAAAATTTCGCCGGAAGTCAAGCTGATATGGATGCAAAAGGTGGAGGAAAATACAAGCCGCAAAAGGCGGATAACCGCAAAATTACTATGGCAAGACTTGATATCCGAGTTGGTAAGATCGTCAAGGCTGAGAAACATCCTAAGGCAGATGCATTGTATGTGGAAGAGATCAATGTTGGAGAGGATCAGCTTTACACAGTTGTTAGTGGACTAGTCAATTACATACCTCTGGTGGAAATGAAGAACCGTATGGTTTGTGTTGTTTGCAACTTGAAACCGGCGACAATGAGAGAGATTGTGTCAGAAGGAATGGTTCTTGCTGCTTCAATTAGTGATAGAAGCAAGGTTGAGTTAGTTGAGCCTCCTGAGTTTGCAAAGATCGGTGAGCGAGTTACAGTTCTCGGGTGTGGAGGCGAGCCAGATAATGTCTTCAGCCCGAAGAAGAAGATTTGGGAGAAACGTGTTGTTGCAAAAAGAAAAGAAAAGAAAAAAAAAACAAAAACAAAAACAACTTGTTGAACTGATGAGAATCTATGCCCAAATATTTGCCCTTCACTACATCTTCAGGTGTATGCAAAGTTTCGCCCATTATCAGTGGTAAAATCCAGTAAAAAGCTTCTTTGAGCCATAAGTCATCTCTAATCTTTCTCTGTAAGGAGAGAGATCTCTGTTTTTTAATTGTCTTCTTTATTTTCTTGGGAATTTGGTCTTCGTCTTCTATGGTTCGTGTGGATGCAGATATCCACACCCAAGATTTATGAAGTGATTCAGATGAAATTAGGGAAACGATGGGTAAGAATTTCTACTGAACAACTGAACTTAAGATCGAGAATAGATAAATGGATTTTTGTATTGATTGAATCAAGAGATCGTTTACAAGAGATCGATGTAGTTTGATACATGAGCTCGTAGAGCGAATATTGCTTTTTGTTCGTATATTTTTTCTTAGGGTCTTCCAAGAAAAACCCTTCTTCCTTTTAAATACTCCTCTCCCTTCGATTAGCTTCAGCGCGTATCCCGCAGTCTGTTGCCCGCATGCCCCGGATCTCGCGTTACCTCTTTGAACTGTTCTTCTCTTAATTCTTTTGTTGGGCCTTACACCCAAAACGCGGACATCCTCCGAGACGGGCTTTAATGGGCTAGTTGGCGGGCTGGATTTGGTGACAAATCCTGGTCCAACAGTTGCCCCCAGCCCATCAGGCGCAGTAAGAAGTCTGATTGGCGGTATACCATTCGGTCTGGCAGGAGCTCGCTATATTTCTTGAACCCGCGAAACTCTTGCTAAGAGAAGGGCGTAAATATAAATATATATATATATTATTTTATTTTTTTAGAGATAAACATAAAGTAATGTTTACCCGATTAGATTTAGAAGCGAATATCGGGAAGTGGAATAAAAAATTCATCTTTATCGATGATGAGACGGTTGGGATTCCCAAGAGGAGAGAGAAAGCAAAAGAGATCTTTTCGGATTTGCTTTAGGCGAATGGAATGATTACTGCATATAGATGCAGTTTTCCCATCTCACCTCACCTCTTCGTTAATCGCACACGTCTCCACTCCTACTCAAGGTAACTTCCCTGTTTCTTTATTTAAAGAATTGCAACTGTTTACTTATGCTTTTCTCCCTATACTCTTATGCTTCCGTTTTCGAAAAGAATTTTAGGCAAAATCCGTAGTTTTTCGCGTGCTCGGTTAGAATCGAGTGCTATTCGCTTGTTTGCTTGCCTGCTTCCTCTTTCTTTCTATTTAATTTTCTCTGATCATGGCCGAGTCTCCTGCCAAACAAAGCGAAAAGCGGATGGCGAAAAGCCAGTGGGTCCTGGCGTGTTAAGGCATTGGCTATTCGGGGTCCTCGTATGACCACGAAAATGAGCTCCGACGAAGTTGAAGAATTTCAATCGGCTTACGGGGTCGAGATAATCAGACCGCAAAAACTGGAGGGTCCCCAGAGGGTGACAAGCGGATACGAGTGTGCCTTTTCGCAATACTTTGAGTCTTGCGGACTCACCTTCCCGATCCCGCGGTTTCTGTTGGAGTTCGTGGCCGAGATGGGGATTGCGTTCCCCCAAATGCATCTGAACCTGATTCGAACGATTATCGGGTTATGGGTCCTGTCACGAGAAGCTGGACTTCATTTCGGGGTAAAGGAATTTCACCGGCTTTGCACGGTGAAGAAGAATGCTCGCAGCGACGGCTCGTTTTTTGTTTTCCCAAAAATCATCGACGGTTTGCCGCCGCGAGACGACGGGTGGCAGGACAAGCCTTTTTTTTTCAAGATTGACCGGTCTTCGGTTGGAGATTTCGATTTTAATTCCCTGCATTCTGAATGGGCCGACTCTGTTGGTTAGGAGAACTTCGTTTAATATTTAGGCCCCATATAGATTCTTTACTGCTTTGCATGTTTGATTTTGCTAGCTTCGTGGGTCGCAGGTTAATCTGGTTTTGCTTTTGGTTTTGGTGCAGATTCTCCTAGTCTGATCTGTTTCGACGACACACTGAAGGATCGAGTTGACGCGCTGAGGAGGGGTCGTACTCAGTGGTCATCCTTTACCAAGGACAGAATTCTTCAGGCCTACTGACTTCCAGCTCCTGTCAGGAAAGCGTCACCTTCCGCTCAAATCTCTCGAGGTATGTGACGGTCTCAGCCTTCGATTAATGAATTGCTGGAGGTTATGTATTAGGCCGCGGGCTGCAATTTTGATTTCGTCTTGATTCTGGTTTGCAGCAAGAGGTTCGCAGCCCGAAGATAGCAGTTCGTCAACGGTTCCGCCTCTGGTCAGGACTATGTCTCGTCGACCCTCGCAACGTCAGCTCGAGAAAGCTGCAGGAAAAATGAAGGTAGACGGCAATGAGCCCGCACAGGTTAGCGATGTGACATCCGCATTTCACGAGGTGTTGCAGGCAATGGATGCTAATGTCCCACCTTGTGGTTGCTTGCGTGTGCTGAATGTGTTAGTTTTTGGGTTTTCAGTCTATGAAGGCGAATAATAAGCTGGTTGCTTATTATGAGGATCTGTTGCAGAGTGTGCCTTCTGTTGATAATCTTGTAAGGATGACGGCGGTGGTTGGCGAACTGAAGGGCTCGTTGGAGGTAGCCCAAACTCAGATAGCGATCTGCGAGAAGGAGCACACTCCTTCCAGCGAGCTGAATCATCGCATCGAGTTGTTGGAGGCTCAGATCAAAGTTGCGAGGCTCGAGCAGCAAGTTGCTGTCGATCAGGCTGCCAAGCTCGAAATCCATAACAACGAGCTGAGAGACTCCAAAGAGGAAGCCGTCCGTCGTGCTGCCAAAGCAGGGAAGCGCGAGATCAAGACCGAGTATGATGAGCTGTGAAGTCGTTGAGGGAGTAGTGGGACAAACGCAAAGGCGAGGTGGACTGCCGCATTTCTCTTCATGAGGCCGTTGCTAATATCGACCTGATTACGGACATAATGGCCGGGACGGCGAAGGTTGAAGAAGAATTGCCAAAGTGGACGCGCAAGGCTGACAGCTATGAAGGAAAGCTCAAAGGGTTGGTTGTTTCTGATATTCCTCAGGTTTCTGATGATTCCGTTTGGATGGAGGTAGACCCCGTTACCAATGTACCGACTAGCTTAGAAAATTAGCGAGTAACGGCAGCAAGGGTGCTATGGGCAATGACTGTGGTGAGAAGGGTGATGGCGCGGAAGGATCCGGGACTGGCGTCCAGGAGGAGGCCGAATTCGGGTCTGGTGTGGAGAAAGACCGTGATGAAACTCTCTCGCCTACAGAATAATCCTGAAGATTTCTCGCCTTCCCTTTCTTTTTTCTTTGTTTCAGACTTTTGCCCGGGAGGGTTTTCATCCTTGAACTAAGTTTGTCTTTTGGATTTGTTCCGTGGTGTTTGTTTTGTTGTTTCTTTTTTGGGTCGCGAACACTTTTGGTTCGCGACGTACTTTGGTTCATGTTTGCCTGGGAAGGCTCTTTTTAATTGAATTCCGTGTTTTAGGAACTTTTGTGCTTTTTGTCTTTTCCTTGCGTACTTTGATTCTGTCTTCGATTGTTTGTCCGAAGTTTATCTTGCGGCCCGGTTTGCTGGTGCGTCGATTATTTGGTTTCATGTTGAACTCTCGCGAGCTGTCTTGAAGGTGGACTTTGGCTCGCATCACTTTGCATTTTTCTCGGGCTGCGGAGGCTAAGTGTTTGTACAGGTTTTGGAATGGTAGTCAGAGTTTAAAGTGCTTTTAGTGCGAGCTGAAGCTCGGTACGTTACCCGACTCGAGTTTGTTTGGGCTGTGGTACTTGTGCTAAAGCAGGTCATTATGCGAACATTTGTTCGGGGCACGTATGAGATGAGCTCGTGAGAGTGTTGTCTGGATAGACGTTTTTTAGCGGATCGTCGTTGATCCCGAGTACTCGTTTGTGCCTAGTCGTTTGCGCGTCATATTAAGAGACTATGAACTTGGTTAAGTTTCGAAGGCTTGTAGCCTAGCTTATAAAAAAAGATTTGCGTATACAGTGCAGTACAAAAATGCAAAGAAAGGTTTTGAAGATTGGGGCTGGACTCTAGGGATGAGCTGCCTACGTACCCCGTCAGGAGATCAAGCCTTGTCGTAGTTCAATTTTAGGATTATTTCAAGAATAGTATCGTTTGAGGTTCATGGAATTCCATGGGCGCAGTTCGGCTTTTTTCCTCTTATGATCAAAGAGTTTGTAGACGCCGGGGCGAACTACTTCGGTGATCTTGTAGGGACCTTCCCAATTGGCCCTTAGCTTTCCACCTGTTCTGCATGTTTTGTCAAAGACCTTCCGGAGTACCAGATCGCCGACTTTAAATATCCGTTCTTTTACATTGGAGTTGTAGTATCGGGCTGCGGCCTGTTGATAGTTCTGGATGTGAACTAAGGCTTGGTCTCGTTTTTCTTCAATTAGGTCCAGTCTGTCCCTGAGCATCTCCTCGCTGAGTTCTGCATTGATCGGACAGAGCTGTCGTCGGAGGGTTGGTACTCTGAGTTCGGTTGGGATTATGACTTCCATTCCATAGGCCAGCGAGAAAGGCGTTTCTTTGGTTACCTTGTGAGGTGTGGTCCTACAGGCCCATAGGACCGCATTCAGCTCGTAGGACCACATTTCTTTCCTAGCGTTTAGCCTTTTCTTGATGTTATTCATTACTGTTTTGTTCGTCGCTTCTGCTTGGCCGTTTCCTTGCGGGTACCTGGGTGTGGAGTAGGATATCCGTATATGTCACGTTCTGCAGAAGTCTCTGAAGGCTTTCGATATAAATTGCAGGCCGTTGTCCGTCACGATCTCGTATGGGAGACCGTGTCTGTATATTATATCTTGCCATATGAAGTCTTGTACATCGACCTCGGTCGTTTGCTGGTAGGCTCTCGCTTCTATCCATTTGGTGAAATAGTCCGTTAGAACCAACACGAACCTTAGCTGTTTTGGTCCCGAGGGGACCTGTGGTAACCCAACCCGGTAAACCGTACCACGGCTGTGTCCCACTACATCCTAACAGTCCGTTTCTATACTTAGCAGCCACATTTTTAAACTTTTTCTTTATTCTTATTATTTCTTATCAACACACAACGGAATGTAAAACAACTCATCTTATTCATTTAACTTTCATAAAACACTTAAACAGGA